TCTGGGGAGGGGCCGAGGGCTCCTGTGGCCCCCCCCTCCCACCCCCCCGCAGTGGCCAGAGGGCCGACTCACCCAGGCCGGAAGACGTGCTCAGTGCCGCCCACTGCCAGCACCAGGAGCCACCCCAGAAGCAGCTCCCTGGAGTCACACATGGCCCGTGCGTCCCAGCGGGTTGGCCTTCTCCTGACGGTGGCCTGGAGCACAAGGCACAACCCCCTAAGTCCCTCTGCGGACCCCTCCTTGAGCCCGTACCTCTGCGGCTGCGGGCGACGGCGCCCCGGGTCTGTGACACCCGTCCCGCGCAGCCGCTTCCCCAGCAGGAGAGCCCCAAGGCCAGTGCCAGCCCCGTCCTCCCCCAACCTGTCTCAGCAGGTGAGGCCGGCCCTTTGCCAGTCATGGGGGGCCCAGGACCAGAAGCCGGCACCCTCACGGTGGGGGCGGAGGCACGTTGGTCTGGGTGAACCGTGAAGGTGTCTGTGGCTCCAGCAAAGTTCACCTGGGAAGGTGGGGGCCCGGGGGGAGCCTCTGCACCCGTTCTAACGCCCTGGCTAGCGCCCTCCTTGTCCCGGCAGCACAGTACCAATCTCAGTCTGCACACGGGGCGTTAGTGAGCAGAGCTGGAACCCAGCCTGGCTGGCTTGGCCCTCGGGCCCTCAGTGTCCTCATCTGCCAAACGGGGAGCCAGCCGTGGTGGGGGGGGGCAATGAGGGTGCAGGCGTTCAGCATGCGGGAGCCACACGGTCCTGAGAACGGGGCAGGGCCTGCGTATAGGAGGAGGTCACTCCTACACTGGGGTCTGACCGGTCTGGCCCAGGGATCCCAGGACAGCGGGGCGGGGGGCACTGGAGGAGCCCTTCCCACATGCCAGTGGAGCCAGAGGCCATCCCTCTGTGCTGTGGATGGAAGTCAAGGAGGCTGGGAGAGCATTCCTGGGAATGTGAGAAACCCCAGCCCAGAATTACTGGTCTGCAACACGCTGAGGGCGCTGTGCGATCTGGGGGGGTTACCAGCTATGTGCGCAGCCAAGCATCTGGGTAGACGGGGAGCTCCCCGCCCCCATGCTCCAGGCACCCCACCCGAGGCCCCCAAGGGGCTGGGTCCCACCCAGGTGGGCAGCGCCTGGCCCTACGGGGCATTCAGCAGGAAAGCACACAGGAAAAAGCTGAACTTCTGTGGGGGCAGGAGGTAGAATCGGGGTAGTTCGCCCCCTTCTCTGGGACACCACGAGGGTCTCAAGAGGCCCCTTCTCCAGCTCTGACAGCTGGTCCCATAAAGAGTGAGGCCTGCAGAGCCCCACCCCGAGGGGAGAGTGCTACCACAGCTGGTCTGCACCGTCGGCTGGGAGTGGGGTCGGCGCTCTGGCCCCCCCCCCCGC